ACGGTGAGGTCAGGTCAGAGGCAGCTGTGACCCGAGAGGTCAGGTCAGGCGTGGCGGGTTGACTGCGTGGTTGTCACGGGTGATCCGCTAGGTCACGGTCGTCATCCAAGCGGTGGCCTAGGGAGATCATGCCTCCGGCCGGATCATCTTACGATCATTAGTCTGATCCACCAATTACCTCTCCATGCGCGCGACATAACTTCGGAAGTGCCGCCGATGCGGAGCAGACTCCATAGACTCTGACATGCAATCACCCGCATTCCTTCCGTTTGATCGAAAATTATCAGGTTGTGTGGCCTTTCTTCCAAGAAGGACCACGCGACCAAGCATCGAATGTAGGGCACCAAACGCTTTGGCCCGCCCCTGCGTGAAATCACAGCCAATTTGAGACGTCAGCAGGCCGCAGGGCGGCTGACGATCCACAGGCGGAGGCTGTGGCTTTGAATCGTGGATAGCATAGCCCATGTAAATGGCCTTAGCGGAAGCGATTTTTGTAACGCGTCTCAGAACATTCCGCATTAGAGCTTACTCGTCAAGTTACGTGCAAACCAAAATAATTTTACTGTCCAGTTGCTCGATCAGGTCAAGCCGATCAGTGGCTGAGACATGACGAGGTCAGGTCAGGGCATGTCGGAGGGAGCGGCGTCGGGTAACGAAGGTCATCGGCCAGCAGGGGTCACGGACGGCTGCTGCCGGGTCGTCCGGCCCCGCCCGCCAGCTGCTGTGAATGCGACCGCGCTACCGCCGGGCTGCACAAACTACAGCCTCCGACAGCAGCTCCAGAAGCTGCGGTCCGCAGAGCACGGCTTCCGTGTCAGACACTGTCCGCGGCCAGGTTCGCCACACCGTGACCTGCCACCGACGCTGTGCGAACGCACGACAGGCATGGTCAGCCGAGCTGAATGATTAGCCGGCCCATGTCCTGGGAACGCTTCCTTTCATTTTCGCCTCCTTCCGGCGGTTGATCATTGGCAGACGCGACCAGAGATGGCGCCAGAGATGGCGACCAGAGATGGCGCCCCTCACGACACAGTACTTTTGTTTTCTATTTTGAGAATGGCTAAAGTCACGACTAACCACAAGTGTGAGCTTGGGAACTTTTAGCGGCCGGGGACATCAGACAACCTCAGATTTTAACTAAGATCCATTTTGGGACCCGCACGGCTGACTCTACACTATTGAAAAGGCCAGACGTATGCCGCAGTCTCCTGTATTAAGCCTGCACCACGCCGATCTCCGGCAGAACGCGATACCTCCAGGCACAGCATGTGCGGCAGGGGTCGGCCTCCGCGCGGCGGCGGCTCCAGCCCGCTGGCGGGTCGGCCGGTCACAGAGCCCGACGAGAGGAAGGCGTCCGGTCACGCTGATTACATGCATGACGATGCCAAGCATTTTCTCAAAGTAAATCGCTTTCATGATCGCCGTGCAGGTTATCGAAACCGACAAAAATTACAGCATCGGTGGTAAAATCCAATCAAGAACATTGCACTAAAAACGCGGCGGGTATCGCCCCAGCTACCTGCTGCGATGACCGGCGTTTGCAGCCGTCACGGCGTAACCCCACGCGCCGTGCAGTCGGTGGACGGTCCCACGGTATCGGTTTCGTTGGCTCCTGCTTCGAATGCTACCGACGCCTCGCAATTATGCGCCGCGCCGCGCGCGAGGAGGGGCGTACTAGCAGCCAGAGCCGTTCACACCGCGCGGTCACGTTCGCTGGCTTCGAGAAGAGGAAGGGAGAAAGGCGGGAGAGGGGAGGGGGGGGGGGGGGGGGCAGCGACCGTGAACGCATTTCCCAGGGTGTATAGCTTACCGCCCAAAATAAACCTAGAGCAAGTCCGCCGGCCGAACGACACGCGAGAAACGCAAACAGTCCTACTATGCCCTAATCTTGTTTAGAAACGCGCTCACAGTCACGCCAGGCCATCTGGGTCGTTGGGGAGTCCAGGGCCAGGACGACAGCAGACCAAGACAACACTTTGGACGCACCCCTCGCTCTCCTGCTGCGCAGCGTTCTAAATTCGGGCCATCATGTGACATTAATAGCGTGCAGGGCTTTTCCTGCACCTTTGCTATTGTCCCATGCAGTGGACTGAGGTCATCACAGTGAACTGTTCAAGTCCAGCTGTAGCAGAGGCTGGCAAAAGTGAGCCCAAACAAGCACCAGTTGAGCCTAGAAAGAAAACCCTAATTCCACACGCATGGCTCTCGAATCGGCATCACAGATTGCTCGCAGTCAGCGTTTTACGACACATAATCACTATGAATGGCAATGCTCAGTAATAAGACTTACGCGCCTCTATAATTTAGTATTTACCCGCACTTTCTTTCACGGAGCTTAGGACGTAATGACGTATGGAACGATGAAGGAGGATCGTCACGCAGGGACCCGGAACGATGACCACGCATAAAACCACGCCGCGATCATTTCGCGGGTGGCGTGAGTGGTGCCGCGGTGAGAGGACCCGGCCCCTTGATCGAGACTGACCGGAGTTCTATTTTCGAATTACTGTAATGGTAATGGCCCTACAGTGACAATCGACATAAAGGCAATACATTCTATTGTCTCGGTCATCATACTGCGAAGATAAAGAGCCCAGGTCAAGGCGGCTTCGATTCCGAAGAACTCACCGCTGACTTCGAACGACAAGATTTGGACATCATCCAGGGAGAGGCGTTAGCTCCGTTGGTTAAAGCATTCGGCCATATGCGGGAGCGGGGTCCCTGGTGCGCATCCGCACACAGCAATTATGCCCCGCTCCCCACCCCCTGTCCTCGGTACGGTCGTGAGTCTCGGACCAACGCGAATGACCGAAGCAGTTGCACGCTCTAAGAAAAACATAGTCTCAAAGAAGAACGCACGTGGCATCTAGGTGAAACTGACTCCAGAATGCACATCGCTGCTGCTCAGGCGACGACCGTCTTCGTACATGAGTGTATTGCCATCAAGTCTGTCTCAAACTATAGTGGGAAACGTTCGATCACCTACTCAGCGTAAAACGGTGAATTTTTCTGGCTAAAAAAATTGATCGCAATGTGACATCTGATTTTTTTTTTTATTAAAGAAGCTTCCTGTTCTTGGCAGGATTCCTGGGACCGATTCATTTCAGACCAAAAAGATATACTCTCCACTGAGTATCTCCTATCTCCTTATTCATGACCGGATCAATCATAATATTCCCCACGCGGTCTGAGGCCGACACCCTGTTCAAAGAACGTTAAATCAACCTGCCCACTGAAGCGTCACATAAAGGTATTTTGGCGCTCAAAGATTGGTACACTTTGCGAAACGATGATAGGCACGACAGCAGTGACTCACGGGACACCATGTACTGTTCCATCGACCCATTCTATGCCTGCGGGTTTCCTGCATACCGTTTTTCTGCGGCGGCTCATGCTAGGAACGTGACCCCCGGGCCAGACCGTTGGCTGCGCCGCTTTTCGCACCATCCGGTAGCGAAAACGGAGCACCGGCAAGAATCCCGGCAAAAAACGGCTCACATGGGCGTGGCGATCCCGGCGCAGCACGAGAAAAAGGCGGCGATGCCGGCGCGGCATTCCGCCGACCTGGTCCTCCCGGCGGCGATATCGAAGCGCTTCCGAGCAGACGCGCAAAAACGGCCGTAATATATCAGAGGTGGTCACGATGTAGTCGGTTGGAGATAATGACGCAGGCCTGGCCAGCTGGCGGCGGAAGGAGCTCCGATTCGCGCTGCCCTGGTGGTTCCCGTGATCCCGCAGCACCCATCACGCAATCTTATCCTGTTCCAATGTCCTTTCCCAGGCTCATTACGGCTTCCATTTGTATCTGTCCGTAACGAGTGCGGTGATAGGCACCTTCGCGTGCTGACAGACCGGCACGTCAAACACAGCTACGAAAGGTCCCGCCACCCCGGGTTCGGCGGTCCTCGAATAGTTATGCGCCACTGTTCTGCCAAGCATGGGCGGTCGAGAGTCGTTACCGATTCGCTTGTTGCCTTTTCTACCCGCGCATAACTATTCACCTACCCTCAACACACCTATGTCTGCCCACATGTTTCTGACATAATTAGACCCCGACTTTCCGCAGGCCGGGGGCGTAGAGCGGAAGCAATCTTTCAATCTGTTGCGCAATATACTCAGCTACTATTAATGATACAACAGTCGTCGATGTCGACATCAAAGTAACCAGATGACTGTTTTGCAAGTGCTATTAAGCGGGCCTTTGCAAGAGATTAAATGTCTCCCGTTGAACCAGGTTGAATGATGGCTCAAAAATTACCTGGAATAAGACAGGGGAATAGAATGAGGACAGAGAGCCATCTTACTTTCGATTGACAGTAAAGCGACTGTTGAAATAAACTAATGATACACCATTATAATGCATTTGATACATACAAGTGATACACTGGACAACCGGAAAAGAATGAACAAAGGAAGTGGACGCTAAATGTTGGGCAATGTCGCTTTGAAATTTGTAACCCCATATAATATGTCTGGGAAGAGAGTTACCCAAAGGCATGGGCACAAACTGCCCATAACATTAGTGCTGTCCCTTTCGGCCACGCGCGTTCCACGAGATAACAAGATAAAGTCGGGATAATTAAGGGTATAATTTAACCAGGTTACGCGGGTAATTACCCCGACGCAATAGCCCTCTAGTCCGGGCAGTTCAAGCCAACAGCGTCGCGTTTCACCTCCGGCTGCTTTGGTCAGTTGCCTCGCTCCAGAGAGCTCCGTAGAGACGCACACTCGTCAGCCATTGTAAATCGCGCACTAACTGACCATTTACGAGTTCCGGAAGAAGCGAGTACCGTTCCGAAGGCGGCGCCCCTCGCGTCACTGTACGGAGCTGGTAATGGCCAGGTGACTGTGTCCAGATTCTTCCGATAATTCAGGACAATCACGCGGCACGTGCGCGAAACGAATCCGAGAGGAAACAAGACATGTAAGACATCCACCAGATATGTGTCGCCTGAGTTCTGACATGCAGGCATACCCATTGGCCAGCACGGCAAACTGACCTTTCTTGACAGCTGAGCAGGGAGTCTTCTTGAGCGAGTGCTCCTGCTTCCGGATGGACTCCATGAGTCGCTCGTGGCTCGAGATCTTCCGGGGCGACATCGGGGCACTACTGATCTTTCGCTCGCTGACCTGAAAGCAAAGCGGCGGCGGTTACCACGAAATGCAGACAAGAATGCAGAAGGAGAGTGAAAGTGACTGCAAGGGATAGACGCGAAGAGGGTCGACCACGGCTGTTCCGGAAGAGGGGTAATTTTTAAGGTATAGTTGCTCGAAAAATAAGCGAGAACTGAATATACAGAATGCAAACAGAAAACGGGCTGAAAAGGTTAAGGTCAAAACTAAAGATAACGACCGAAAATGGAGTGCCGTCCATTTTTGAGCATTTATAACTGGTTGTTTGCATAAGCCAACTGCACTTGAACTTAGATGATAGCTGTATTTGGTATTCTGTCAGCGCACTCCACTTTGTGCATGCACGGCACATGGCAGCCCAAATGATACGCCTTCATGCCTGGATGGTGGTCTGTGAGTTGTAAATGCTCGGCATCCAGTGCGCCTCGATTAGAAGAGGAAAAACATGACGAACTCTGGGAATCGGTCTAAATTACGAGGCGTCCTCTTCCGATGTGTGTAATATTAAACGGGTAAATAACAATAACGAGTGCCCCGGAGGAGCGAAAAACGCGACTCAAATGGAATGGAGTTACTCTGGAAACGCACACAAAGTGATCTATGGCGATCAGTCGGCAGCAAAGAAGTGACAGCAAAACTAATAAAAACACATCTAGACCACGCAGGCCATACTTGCGCCCAAAACGAAAGAGAGATCATTGCCAGCCCCATCGTGCACAAAAACACAATACACATGGGCGGGTGTAACGGAGCCGGACTCGTGCGGTCGGCCCAAAAACTGCGCGCGGCCGCGGCGCGCCTATTCAGTCCTTCAGGTCGGTTGGCTCCAGCGACGTGCTCGAGTCGACGTGGCGGTCGGGCCCAGCCGGCGCGGCTGCCCGCCGCCCTGACCCAGATGTGCGACCAGGTCCCGTGCAGTGGCGGGGGTCAGCCGGGTCAGAACAGGCTCGACGGCACCGCCAGATCCGGGAGGGGAGAGGAGGGGGCTGGGGTTCTACTGCGCGGCGCCTCAGGATGTTTGGACTGGGAAAGGCTGGATATGCCGCGCATGCTTTCGTACGTCGCTGAGAGACCCTTACCACCCGCCAGGCGGACATGGAGCCAGGCTTATGTTCGACTCAAGCTAAGTCGTGAATTGGCCCACGAGCCAGCTGTTTTGAGTGGGCCGTAGGCTGAGTCGGCTTGGTACGAAATACACCGCTCTGAGCCATGAGCCGATTCACGTTCTCGTAACGGCATGATCTAAACCGCGAACCGATCATTCTAACGTTGTCGTGTCAGTGAGCCATATGACTAAAATTAAGACGGTAACAGGAGGAAACACAGCACGCCCACACAACTTAACAGACCATTACAGAGTGTTAAAAGGAACAGCACGCGGCATGAGTTGTACAGCTTTTGCAAGGTAAGCACAAAGTCTGTTGTTATAGTTTCCAAGCAGGAAACAAAACATTGTTGATCCTAACATAAGAATTGTCCAAATTCAGCCAGGAACCAGAGGATACTCCATGGTACAGATATGTAGCGTACGAGGTCCACATCGCATGCTATATAACTCATGGATCTGGGTTGTAGGCGCCAGGGTATAATGTGGTAGCCTAGAACTGGGACTTCAGAGAGCTGGTTGCTAACAGGTTACAGGAAAAGTGTTATTTTGCTGCACTACACTGGATAGGTTCAAGCTTCATGCTTGCTACTAGGCTATTTGTACCCATCCTAGAAGCTACGAATATATATATATATATAATATATATATATATATATATATGTGTGTGAGTCATCATGCAACGAGTCAGAACTGAATGGGAATCTAGTTTTGCAAGCCGCGCGAGTCGTGAACCAAGTAATTCGACGCAAGCAAAGGGTCTGAACTGAAATGAATCAAACAATCTGAAACGCCTATATAAGCCATCAGCTGAAATGGATCCCAAAATCTGTGAGCCGACCCTGAGCCTGATAAAAAATGGGCGAGTCTGCATGGAGCCCGGTGTAATGGTACGGACGACGAAACAACAATATGCACATATGTCTTGCCTGCCCTGCGGGCGGTGCACCGCACGGGGTGAATGTTCCACGGGGTGTTCAAGCCACGGGGTGGTAGAGCTAATGAGCTAATGTTTGAGCCTTTACTCTCACTAGGATAGCATTTGCATCCAGATATCACTCCCCCAAGCTGATGGTCATAAAATTAGTCTGTCGCTAAAACGACCAACAACACACAGTGTTTGCATGTGCCAACAAACACAGTGCTTGCGTGCGCGAAGCAGAGTCGCAGGTCATGGAGAGAGCCGAACAGACCGAGAGGTTAAAGCGATCTGCTCAAGATGGCCCTAAAAGCGGTGGGTCACACGACATCCACGCGACACTACAGAGGTACAATCCGGCCATGTTTGCGCCGTAAAAGGATAGAAAGACGCCTGTGGCTTTGGTCTTTCCATCTCCGCATGACATCCGGGCTTATCAGGAGACGCACAAGCGCACGTGTCCAAGTTCACCATAAATCTCACACGTTGCGCTCACCATAAATCATAGACCTGCGCAGGACACGAAGCGCCATGCGATTGATAAACCTTAACTGCTGAATAAAAACACGATGCTGAGCACTGCGACAGGCTCCCATAAGCTCGGGCATAAAGATATGGACATTTACCGCCCCTGGTCTCACGACGGCCGATCCATGATTTACGGCAGCGCCAATCGCTCTTAAATCCCTCGTCTCACACCGAGCTCGCAGGCCACGGCTTGAATACTGGCCCTAGCTTGAGATGAGTGTCGCTTGTTTGCGCTCCGCGGAGGCGACCTAAGCGAGGGCACTGCCCGCCCCCGCTGTAACACGGCGAGTCAGAGCAGACCAAATGTCTGATGCTGATCTGACTATGATGACTCTCAAATGGCTGAGCTGGCCAACTAATCACGGCTCACATTTGGAAGGAGCGAAAGAATTAAGCTTTTGACCAGACTGACCAAAAGCCGACCCATTGGCGAGGCCTTGAAAACCGCGAAAAACTTGTGTAACAATGGCACATATGGTATATATATATATTAATATATATATAATATCTATAATATATATATATACGAAATAATCACCGAAATACCAATGCCCTATTGATAATGTCAGAACCGGCGTTAGAATAGCGGTCGCCACTTGGACAAAGCCTACGTACAATGTTACCAATCGCCCCGCGCAGCTCTGCACCATGATTTGAAAACGTGTCACGTTAGCGCACATTAACCACGACCTTGAGTGATCGATGAAAGCAGCGCCAAACAGCCCGCCTTCCCCCGGCTGTCCTCAGACCACTCACACGCGCGGCGACCTTCCGCGCACGGTCCGGCCGAACCGGAAACCGGTTTGAATCGGATGGCGAAGACGAGGGTCAAGGGCCTCGCGCAGAGCGTGCGTCGGGACGACAGACTGACGAACCTGGGGCCGCCTCACGGACAACGGGGGCGGCCGGGCCCTGCACGTCTGCCGCCAACCTGCCAGCGAGCCGCTCCGCCGACACGAGTCGTGCCTCGACCACGCGAGGCGTGGCGAGGCGCGGGCGGGCTCGCGTCGCGTGCCGTCGGCCGCTGTTTGGCCGGAAGCGGCCGCTAATGGCACGAGGAGTGGGCGGCGTGCTGTTTTGCGGGGCGGCCCCCGCCGGAGGGGCGCCTGACAATGTGGGCACGACCCTGGCCGGCCGATCGGGCCTGCCAAACGCGCGTGGTCACGCCAGGGCCGTCGCTGGCCGCGCTGGTTTGTTGCGACCGCCACCGCGACAGGCGTCGCTGCGGTGAGGTCCGAACACACGAGCGGCGAGGCCCGGAGCACACGAACGATGGGGCCCAGAGCCACGAGCGGTGGGGCCCGGAGAACACGAGCGGCGAGCCCCTCCCCCCCCCCCACCACCTCCTCCCCCCCCCCCCCCCGCGGAGGGCTGCTAACCGACATCCAGCGGAACAGCCGCTATTGTGCTGATCGTCCGAACCGTGGCGACGGGTGATTTGTGTAGGCTTCATGTGTCTGGAAGCGATTTGTTAACTGAATCTGTTTTGAATGACGCACCACGTGGAGTAATAATATTCAGCTCGTTGCCTTCGTCTCGTCTTATGGCAATGCGCATTTGCAGAAATGTTGTCTACATACCAGATAAACACCGCTTAAAAGCTATATTTTATCTAATCGTTACAATTGAACAAGTTGAAGTTTCCAAACAAACATGGATCAGCCGCGCAGGCGATGCACACGGCGAGGCTGTGTGCGACATACATGCGGAAGTGGTAAGCGTTCACATTTGCATGATACACCAGCACTATGGTGTGGTCAGGCACCAGCCACCACAAGAACCGGCCACAACCCTTCCGACCCGACTGGCTCGCCTCCCAGCGAGTTAATTAGGTGGGCACGACCTGCCTCAGACTCGGCCAACAGGGATCGAACACCTGTCGCTCCGCCACGACCAGCGTGTTATTAACAACGTGGGCCTCGAATGCATTCCCCCTCCCCTCCTCTCTCACAGCCCGTAGTCAAACGACTGGAAGAGCGTTGCCTGGCGCCGCTTTGCAGAAGTGATCGCCTGACGGTACATTCGTACCGTACCGTACCGCACCGAAAACGTACCTTCTTGAG